ACAGTGACAAACAAGGAGCCCGGCAACCTGTGGCATGCGGCGCGCCAGGATAAGCACCCTGGTGGGCCGGGCCAGTTTGTTTACCTGCCGCGTCGGCAGGTTCGGCCGATCACGGCTCCCACTGGCTGCGGTTCGCCACTCCAGGCCAATGGGGGCGGCGGGAAGCTGCGGCCAGCACATCCCTTGCCCGCGCTGCTTCCCGCAGCCCCCATTGGCTTGGGATGGCGAACCGCGGCCAGTGGGAGCTGCGATCGGCCGAACCTGCGGACGCGGCAGGTAAACAAACTGGCCCGGCCCACCAGGGTGCTTATCCTGGCGAGCCGCATGCCAGAGGTTGCCGACCTCTGTGTTAGACACTGTACAAATGTAAGCAGCAGACACATGACCTGCCCCAAAGAATTTACAATCCATTATTATTATTATTTGTATTGTAGTAGCACTCAGGACCACAGTCATGGACTAGGGCCCCACAGTGCTACACACAAGCCCCAAAGACTTCACAGTCTAATCCAGTTTTTATTTTGTGTTTCAACAATATAAAGAATGTTCATGTTCGACCATGAAACATTTGAACAAGTGATAAGTGATGGAGTAGGTCACCTTGTGATCCTTCAGATGACAATGTGAAGGCAGGAAGGAAGCAGGTTTGCAAGCTGACTTCTGTATTGGCAGCATCACTTTTCAGAATGATGGTTCCAGCCAAAAGGAGGCTCGGAAATTACTATTTAATTAAAGCCATTTTGCAGATTACACATACACAGTTCACAAACAACTTATGGTCAGAAGGTAAGTAGCCTCTTGTCACTCTAACTTAGAAAGACACCCCTGAAAGTAATAAGTAGTTGATACCTGGTTCAAACAGGATTACCTACAGGGTCAATGTCAAGGTGATGTGGAATGTATGTTTTCACTGAATCACATCAAAGAATTTTAATTACCATCTATAGCCACCAATATGGCTGTTTGTCCTTTCATTTCATGGCCTGTCATTGCATCATTAATATCACTGGATATAAGCAAGCCGTTCCGTTTCATCCATTCACGATTTCCAATCAGGACTGAGTATGTCAGAGGGGCTGCTGCACCTGTGGTAAACAGAAATAAAAACCAGGAGGAACTTAAATAACCATCCACAAGCCAGAAGAAGAAACCTCTGAAGATGGGTAAAGTCAGATTAGGATGCAATCAGTCACTAAACTGCTTCATTTTAAAAAGAGATGTGCAGCTACTCTGGAAACTATGACAGACTTAAGCCTTATGATGATCTGCTCTGGCAGTGGTGATGTCTGGAATTTTCTATTATAGGTCAATGATCCTGTAGCCTTATACACGGATTGAGACTTGCCTTGGTTTTGATTAGCAACAAAAACTAGACAGTGTTACTCTCCTGTTCTGCCAAGACCAACTGGAACGGGCTACCAGCACTTCATATTATAAAGCTCTTTTCTACTTTAGACTCCAATCCTGAAAACACTTATGCGCACCAGTATCTTTATGCATGTGAACAGTCCCCTTGAGCTCAGAGGAAGTATTCATAGGCATAAAGACACTCACGCACAAAAGTGCTTGCAGGACCCGGCCCGTAGATATCCCAATTACATTTTTCCAATGGTTTTTCACACCAGGTTATAGCAGAGGTAATGCTGGGAGTGGGAAGGAATGAGTAGTACACAGGAGAGGAAATGATCTGGTAATGGAAAAAAATGTTTCAAGACTTTAAAGATGGAGCAAGATAGATTCCACAGCCTGAAAACAAATCTTGGTACCTATCCATCTTCCACAGTGAGATCAACTGAACTGTCAACAGCAAAACCTTAGTAGACAAAATGTGTTTTATAAGGGGTGTAACTATAATTCTATATCTAAAATAAACATTTATTCCAAGGATACGTGTGCACCCATTCAATGGTGCCTTTAATTAAGCACTTTAAGCAATATTTGAGAAAATAACCATAACTTAATCCATAAGTGTAGCATGGGCTAAAAAGTGGCACAAGGGCAGCAAGGTAAGAGGATAGGCCAAAGTGGGGACTGTTCTAGGGGGAACTATACGCAGATTAGCAAATTGTGCTCTCCCCCATCTTTTTCGTCTTTTCAAATGGAACTTCCTGTTTTGTTTCCATGTGGTCTGAATAAGAAATACCTTGATATATTGGGGAGGGTTCAGAGAAGAGCCACAAGAATGATTAAAGGATTGGACAACAGGCCTTCTAGTGATAGACTCAAGAAGCTCAATCTATTTAGCTAACAAAGAGAAGGTTAAGGAGTGACTTGGTCACAATCTTTCAGTTCCTACATGGGGAACAAGTGTTTGATATTGGGCTCGTCAATCTAGCAGACAGAGGTGTAATGGGATCCAACGGCTAGAAGCTGAAGTAGACAAATTCAGACTAGAAATAAGGTGTACATTTTTAACAGTGGGGGCAAATAACCGCTGAACAACTTACCAAGGGTTGTGGTGAATTCTCCATCACTGACCATTCATAAATCAAGATTGTGTGTTTTGATAAAAAATATGCTCTAGTTCAAACAGGAATTAAGTTAGGGAAGTTTTATGGCCTGTGTTATACAGGAAGTCAGACTTGATGATAATGGTGGTTCTTTTTCTCCTTAGAATCTATGAATCTTACTACCTATTTGTTACATGTGCTTGCAAAGCACCTATCATTGTAGTATCTAAGTACTCAGCTAGCTTTCCAGCCACATTAAGAAAAAAGAAGAACAGGAGTACTTGTGGCACCTTAGAGACTAACAAATTTATTAGAGCATAAGCTTTCGTGGACTACAGCCCACTTTTTTGGATGCATATAGAATGGAACATATATTGAGGAGATATATATACATTCTATATGCATCCGAAGAAGTGGGCTGTAGTCCACGAAAGCTTATGCTCTAATAAATTTGTTAGTCTCTAAGGTGCCACAAGTACTCCTGTTCTTCTTTTTCCGGATACAGACTAACACGGCTGCTACTCTGAAACCTGTCATTAAGAAAAAAGAATATGGCTTTTCTCCCAATGATACATTTTAGCTACTTTGTGTTTTCTAACATAATCCCACCTTCCCTGCTGCAGGAAGCAAGTTCTAATTGTATATAACCATTTCACAGTGGCTGGTATTGTTGATTTAGCAAACCTCTCCTTGTAGCTGCCTATCCGCTTTGAGGGCAGACATACCATCGGATTCAGAGACCATGATCGATGAACTGTGTCCCAGCGAAATCGTGCTGACACTGCTCAGGGAAGCATTCTGTACGTTCACACGCTGCTCACTCTGGCCCAGTACAGCTTCCACACTGCGGACTTTACAGCTGATTCCACAGCCTGGGACTGCCTGAAAATCTGTGCAGTATCCCAGGCTCTCCGTGCCAAGTTCCTGCAAACATAATAATAATAACGAGAACTTGTAACAGACTTTGAATCATCAAAGTGACGCACAAATATCAGCTAATTCATTCTCAAAACACCACAGAGAAGTTGGTCTCCTCCTCCCCCTTTTACAGAGAGGTAACAGAGAGAAAGGTTAAGTGATTTGCTGGAAGCCACATGCAGCATCAGTGTCAGAATGGGGACTGGAAGCCAGAAGTTCTCGTTTCTAATGCTATTATTAGATTTCTAGAAACAGGGATCACCATACCAGATCAGATCAGAGGTCCATCTATTCCAGTGACCCATCACTGACAGTGGATAATATCAGATTCTGCAGAAGAAAAAAACCCCATAATGGAAAACCTGCCCATAAACAAGTACCAGGAAGCTACATGATTGCCCCGTGCCCCAAGCATGACTGTTTATATTCCTTATAGCTTTTTGATCCAATCTCTAATCTACCACTACACCATGCTGCCTCTTGGAAGGATCAACTTTCAGCTACGCTGTAGGGGAATATGAGCTTTTTTTTTTAAATGACTACAGTTAAAAAAGCGTATTTAATACTTAAAGGCTATTGGTTTGACCAAGGGATTAAGAAACAGCTTGTCTCTGGTGCTCCTTTCGGGACTTTTAAAGAAAATGATAACAGCCTTTACTATCGAATCAGAGGGAGAAGTTAAAGAATGGGGTTGTGTGATGGGGTATGTACCCCATAGAGGCCCTGAATGGATTATTGTGTGCCTGAGAGGCCAGTTATGTTATTTGGCTGCCCCTGAAGGGACAGGCAGGCTGAACTGATCACGAAGCCCAGCTGGGCAGGAGCAGGCGGGTTAGTATACAAAGAGGAAGTTTGTAGTAAACGGGAGTGGCATGGAGAGTCTGCAATCACTTTCTGGGAACAGAGATGGTGAGGAGGAAGCCAGGGTAGGAGGAGAATAAGCTCTGGGATCCTCGCCCTGGAAGGAGGGTCAACCTAGGGAAGTTGCAGAGAAGAGAGCCTGAGAAAGAATGGGTAGGAAGGAGCCCAGGGAAACAGCAGCAAGTGGAACCGTTCCAGACCTTGGCTGCTGGTTATATGGTCCCTGGGCTGGAATCCGGTGTAGTGGGAGGGCCTGGGTGTCCCTATCAGCCATGGTAAGGTGACATGAGTCTGGAGAAGTGAACATTAGAAAGCCCTGAGGCAAGGATGTGAGAAGCACTGGGCACAGAGTCAGGGGCCAGAGACCTGACACAAGGTCTTGGAATTATTTGTTGGACTTTTGTTTGTTGAACTTTGTTACCCCAAAACGGGAGGACATGAATATTGTGACCTGGCCGGAGGACCACGTTACAGAAGAGAGACCAACGGAGCAACCATCAGGAGGGGGCACCATATGGGGAGAGAGCCGCTAAGCCACGCCTGGCCATGAGGAGGCGCTCCTGCAGTGAGTGAACCACTTCACAGGTTGCCAAGACCATTTTGTATAACTCTAAATTTATAAAGAGGAAATAGTCAAATTATAAAGCTAATGGACCCTAATAATTTCCAAGGTATTCACTGAATTCAACAGAGCTACTCATGGCCTATTGAGCAGCCTAGCGATAGTTTAGAAATGTCAGTGGATATACTACAAATATATGCAAATAGGTAAGGGCCATACAAGCAAGCTATGGTCAGGGGGCGAGTGAGGCAAGTGATATAATAGAAGTGACTCATGCACAAGAAAGAGTAGATTCAAATACAGCATCCAGGAGAAGATGGCACATTAAAAAAATATAAGGCAGGCATCTAGATCATTACCAGCTAGAATTCTTCTCCTTCCAAGTAGGCATTTTAATTTTCTAAGTATTTACCACTAAAGGTTTATACTAGATGTGCTGGATATTCATATTGTTGCCAAATTTATCTTTTCATAAGTCAGTTAACACCGGCCAGTAGCCCAGTGGCTTTTATGTAAGCATAAGAGGAGGCTGTTATTTATGATTGCCTCCCTTTTGTGTTTCTGGTTGTGTTTTCATTCTTCCTGAAGTATTAGGGGAACACATGCCACAGATGGTATTTGCTGATTTGCATAGAGATGGGTAATCTCAGAGACTAGCTACTTTCATTTGTCAAACTCAAGGGCTCACAGTTCATGTGATACTTAGGTTTGTTAAAATCTTTCTGGCTAAATTTAGTGATCAGATAAATAGCTTATAGAACTGGCTACTGTCAGACAACGTGTAGGAAGGGACTATATAGGCTTCTTGTGAATTATTAAATTGAATCACAATTCCACCTGTCCATAGTCCAGTTCCATGTTCCAGGTACCCATTCTATGTATTTATTTGGAAGTTTATACTAGGTGGCTGTTGCCAAGGCAACTGAATTATTACAGTAGCATCTAGAAGCTCCAACAAAAATCCAGGCCCCATTGTGTCAGCCACAGTAACAAACATCATGAGAGACAGTCCCTGCCCTGAAGGGCTTATAATCTAAATAAGGGTAGGTCTACACTACCCGGTAGTTCGGCAGCAAGCAAATCGAACTTCTGGGTTCGACTTATCGCGTCTTGTCTGGACGAGATAAGCCGAACCCGGAAGTGCTCGCCGTCGACTGCGGTACTCCAGCTCGGCGAGAGGAGTACCGCGAAGTCGACGGGGGAGCCTGCCTGCCGCGTCTGGACCGAGGTAGGTTTGAACTAAGGTACTTCGAACTTCAGCTACGTTATTCACGTAGCTGAAGTTGCGTACCTTAGTTCGAATTGGGGGGTTAGTGTAGACCTGCCCTAAGACAGACAAAGGGTGAGAGGTGAAGTGACTTGCCAGGGTCACACATCAGATCAGTGGCAGAAACTGAATTAGAACACAGGTCTCTGAACTCTCAGCTCAGGGCTCTTCCCACTAAACCAGGCAGTTTCTTGTAATACCACCAGTTATAAATCATAGTGTAAAACTCCCCCTGCCTGCAGCTCAATTACCCATTATTAAAAGTCATCAAAAGCTTGGCCAGAATAAATGCTGCACTGTAACCTGAAGGTCATCATACTCAGACTCTGGCAAATCAGCAAGGGAAAGCAGATTCCAGGTGAACTGGCCTTTTATTAAGAAGACCTGTCGTCAGCCAGAGGAAGTTTAAAACCTGGAACTGACAGTGAGAATGTCTTAGCAGATCCTAACTCCCATGGTAGGAAGCATGTAACATCCTGCAAGTCTCCAGGTTAATTATTAGCTTACTCACCTGGAACTGTGACTCTCCCTACAATGCAACAGTACTAACATCTTTCATTTAGGTCAGGCAGGGAACTATGTTGACTGCAGACACTAAGATCCTATTCACAACCAGGAATGGAAAGTGGGAATCCCAGGTCTAAATCATTCTTTAAACAAAAGCAAGTAGCTAGGGCTTGCCATTTCCTGACCATCATCAGGCTGGAAACCACATTCTTAGTGCTGTTCATAAACCTGGTTCTTCTAAGTGCTACAGCCCATAATCAGATTTAAGGTCTTAATGGTTTGTAAAGATGGCAGGTCTCACTGTGAAGCCAGGTCTACCCAGCTGTGTCTGGCTTATTCAGTGCAATACTGCTGCTCACACCAATATCCTTGGGCAGTACTTGAAATACATACCTCTTTACAGTATTTAGTGACAGCCATTCCTAAGGGATGCTCACTGCTGGCTTCTGCAGTGCCGACAATTGCAAGTACCTTCTTTAGAGACAGCTTAGCCGTGTCCCCTAGCAAGAGCATCCTCATGACTTTAGGAACGCCACAGGTGATGGTCCCGGTTTTATCAAACATCACAGTCTTTATCTGCAAGAAATGACATATTTAAATTACTGCTGTAATATTAAACTCAAGCAGAGTGAGTATGAGAATGGTTGGAAAGAGCTCTTCGTGCTAGACATAGCATATGTACAATCTAATGTCTCTGTTCAAGTGTGCGTGTGGTTGAGAAGTATAATCAATTAATGTTCCTTCATGAATATTTTACTTTTTATGCACACACACACAACATGCAAAATAGGCACATCATTGGCAGTCAACCTTCTCTGCCAGTATAAAAAGGGAATAATCTATGCAAGTTACAGGTGTCTATACCATGAACTGTCCTGTGCTCATATTCTACCTAATTTTCTTTTCCTTCTCTGAGTGATTGTCATTAAAATGTCAGCATTTAGCATAAATTACCCCATCTTGATAACTTAGACAATGCAGTTATTTCCTATTTTAAGTATCAGTAAAACTGGGGTATTTCACTATATAATAATTAGTTAGTACAAGTGTTGCAATTTTAATGGCAAACAGTGTGTGCACAGAATTCATGAAATGTGTATTTAAACTCAACTGACAATATCTAAAGTATTAAATAGTGGCATATATTTTCCTCTCTCAACATGAGAAGAACAGTTTTTAGATGCTGTACTAACAACCAATGAGCAGCAGCATTTGTATGGTGCTTTGAAGCAGTTCAAACATGAACCCATTAAATCATAGAATCATAGAATATCAGGGTTGGAAGGGACCTCAGGAGGCCATCCAGTCCAATGCCCTGCTCAAAGCAGGACCAATCCTCAACTAAATCATCCCAGCCAGGGCTTTTTCAAGCCTGACCTTAAAAATCACTAAGGAAGGAGATTCCACCACCTCCCTAGGTAACCCATTCCAGTGCTTCACCACCCTCCTAGTGAAAAAGTTTTTCCT